GGCGAAAAAAATATAATAATAAAATAAAATAAAATTCCAGTTAAAGATTGTATGTGAGTTTTATGAAAAATCATGTGTATGGAATTATAATTAATCTGAGGTTCGAAACGTAAAGATCCCTTTTTCTTTAAGGTTTCTGTTCTGCTTTAAATAATTCCCCGGAGTAAGTTTATAGGAATAATTTGGATTTCGATGAACCAACCCAACCGGTTAGTTACAAGCAACAAACAATAAGACATGCTTTTATCTTTGGCATGTGGATATATTTGTGTTGAATTGATAAGTGAATGATAATTTTTTTGAAGTCCAGTTACAATGCAAGCACAAAAGGAGGCTCCACCTGATTTGCAGTGCAAGGATAAATTTCTCCTCCAGAGTGTAGTTGTGAGCCCAGGAGTAACCACAAAGGATATCAATCCTGATATGGTACAATTTATTGTCATGCGTTTATGTTTACTCTGCAATTAAGTAGCTAGGGATGGAAAGGTTCTGTTAAAAAGTAAGCTGTACACGTTTTTTTCTGGTTTCTAGTTTAGCAAACAGTTGGGGAACCGTGTTGAAGAATGCAAATTGAGAGTTTCCTATGTTCCACCCCCACAACCACCTTCGCCTGTGCGAGAAGGTTCGGAGGAAGGCTCCTCACCAAGGGCTTCATTGTCGGAAAATGGGACCGTAAATCAGATTCCTGACTATAATAGCGTGAGATTTTTGGATGTTCTCATGTTTTGATGCGAAAGATATGTTCTTTTGGAGTTCATAACAAATTTAACATAATGGGAATAATGAAAGTTCTAATTTATTTTAATGATTTCTCAGATGTCAAAAGCATATGTTGACTCATTGGAGAACACACCAGAGGTCATATCCTACATTTTTAGTATATTCTATCGTTGACAATATGCTTTATCTTCCTTGATCTTGTATTTGGTTCGTGTCTGGATATCATTATTGTACCTTGGCTTAAGTTTGCTTCTTCTGTGGTGGCCAATTTATAACAGTTCTCTTTATACATCATGCACTTATTTATGTAACTTACTCCTTGCTTCAGATGACAATAAGAAAGTCTTTAAGTATACAAAAGGTTCCGTCGGGGTTGGTTTAGGTGTTTTTGTCTTTTGTGCTGCTTTTCATCCTGTATGAGGTAGTTTACGAATACCAGTTTGTCATTAAGTTGACTTTGGAAATCAAAATGAGCATATTAATCCTTGTTAACAATTGTTTCATGGTTGGCCAGTTGGGTGTGAAATGTGTATTTTCACATTTGATATGCTGTCAAGGTTTGGAAATGTTTTGATGGGAATTTTTTGCTCACAAGGACTATTAGCAGAATGTATTAATTTGATTTCTCTTTTGCTCATGATACATCTACTGGTGTTTGCATCTGCAAAAGAACAAAAAAATAGTTGTGCTTGTAAGTATATATGGCTAATTTTTTTAGTAAGTTAACACTGTAAATTAAGTTCATAATGAAGTTACGGAAGAACTGGGGATTTTTTGGGGTTGGGGGGGGGGGGTTGT